CCTAACCCTAACCCTAACCCTAACCCTAACCCTAACCCTAACCCTAACCCTAACCCTAACCCTAACCCTAACCCTAACCCTAACCCTAACCCTAACCCTAACCCTAACCCTAACCCTAACCCTAACCCTAACCCTAACCCTAACCCTAACCCTAACCCTAACCCTAACCCTAACCCTAACCCTAACCCTAACCCTAACCCTAACCCTAACCCTAACCCTAACCCTAACCCTAACCCTAACCCTAACCCTAACCCTAACCCTAACCCTAACCCTAACCCTAACCCTAACCCTAACCCTAACCCTAACCCTAACCCTAACCCTAACCCTAACCCTAACCCTAACCCTAACCCTAACCCTAACCCTAACCCTAACCCTAACCCTAACCCTAACCCTAACCCTAACCCTAACCCTAACCCTAACCCTAACCCTAACCCTAACCCTAACCCTAACCCTAACCCTAACCCTAACCCTAACCCTAACCCTAACCCTAACCCTAACCCTAACCCTAACCCTAACCCTAACCCTAACCCTAACCCGCACACACGCGCTCAACCATACAAATTGTCGCCATGGCAGATGGTGGCGCCCAACGCTCCGGTAAAACACGCCCAGCGCTCATGCACATAACGAAAGATATGCTCAAACACGCCGCACAGCAGCAACAAATCCATGCTGAAAAGACGCGGCCTTTCACAGCAGTTGTGGCTCACCTTGTGCGTAAACTGCGATTCGGCCTCCACACAACAAACGCACACACCGCCAGCAGTCACACACAATGGACGGGGAAGAGAAGAGACACACCGCCACCGCCTCCCGTTCAATCCCACAGACAACGGGATACGGCCACAACCCCGCAGCCGAAACACAAAGCACAGCGAGCTAGCAACCACCCAAAGAGCCACACGCGGAAGCGGATCCTCACCCAGCCATTACGCGGCAACAAAATCTCCAGCCATTCCACCCACAATGGGATTTGGTGCCCAACTCAAAGAAATCACAGGCGGTGCATCACGCCAACAGCGAAAGTGACTCGCGGTGCGCGCTCTCTTTCCTCCTTCCCTTCATGCCCACGGAGGAAGCAGCAGCCACCCGCAACCGCCAGCACACGCTACAAAAGAAGCATCCAAATCCACTGCAATGTGCATCTTGTGCGTGCCTGCAGACACACGAAACAAATAAGTAAAAACAGGAGCGGAGCATGTGAAGGGACGCAAAAACAAAACTGTACAGCAGAGGTGCATGGCAGAAATAAAGAGAAAAATGCTGCTCAAGCTCATGATATTGCACTGCAGACAAAGCAGCGGCTATTCATAAAAAATTTATCAAAATTAAAAAAAATTCATCTTCACCCTTCCGCACCTCACACTTTGAAAAAAAGAAAAATGAAAAAAATGAAAAAAATGAAAAAAAAAAGAAAATGAAAAAAAAAAGGAAAATGAAAAAAAGGTCGTCCTCTATTACGACTACACCCAAATAATGAAAAAAAAAATTTGAAAAAGAAAAAACCACACAAAAAAAAAGCACCCAAATACCATGTTGCTCCAGAAATTGTCTGCATATATTTTGTCCGAAAATAAAATTAAAAAGATATTTAAATGTCTTTCAGCCGTCTGACCCTCCATGTGTGTCCGCACATCGTTTATATTTCATGGGGTCATCTGCGTGTTGCTGCTCCCCTCAGTCCTCTCATCGGCGTGTGAGTGCGGCCCGCAGAGCACAGTCACTCGTGTGTGTGGGGACTGAGAGAAGCACGCAGACACGAAGGAAGTCGCGTCACTCCATCGGGAGAGTGAGCGCAGCAAAAAAAAAAATCATCAGAGGGGAAAAGAAATGCTCACGAAGCCGACACCGAAAGGACTGCCGGCGCGAGAAATGCACACGCAAAGCAAAAAATCCTAAAAACACGGCGGCAGGGTGTGGCTCTGTGTGTGTGTGTGGCGCTGCGGGTGTCTGCCCGCCCTGGCCGCAAAAAAGAAAACAAAACAAGAGGGAAAGAAATGTGTGCTCCGCCCCACAGGCCCTCGTCGCACGCCCACACGTCACGGCTCCCTCAGCGCGCCGTTCGTCGCGGCCCCTCCTCATGCGTGCAGCAGGCGAGGCGCACAGGGCCGTCGTCATGAGCGTGTCGGTGGGTGTGCGAGTGGAGCAGTTGGACGGGTAACACACGGCACCCCTCGCAGGAAGAGTGCAGCAAAAAACAATAAACAAAAGCAAAAAAAAAAATCCATGGTGGCTGCCCCAAGGCAACAAGCAAGATAAGAAAACAATTTAAAAAAAGAAAAGAAATTGTTCTCTGCGTAGTAAAATTTATTCCTAGCGGTGTGTGTGTGTGTGTGTTGGTGAAGGGAATGGCGCAAGTGTCCCACGCGGCAGCCAATCACTCCTCAAAGAGCCACAATGCCCCACAGCCCCAGCAGAAGAAGCAGCAACAACACCCGAGACACACACACATGCACGGTGCTGTCATGGTTTAGACCCATGGACAGCAGCTCCGCAATTTCCCCGGTGAAGGTGTCGTTGTCCGAGTGTCGTGCCGCGCCTTTTGTTGAGGGGGTCCCTTCGCCTCCAGGCGCTGTGCTTGCATTCACCGGCGCGGTGTCGACCGTCTGTGGCGCCTCCTCGCCGTTTTCAACGGTAAATTGGGCTCCTTCAGTCCGAGAGACGCCGTCGGTGTACTCCGCGGATGTAGTTTCGGCGTCACTCTTTGAAGGAGTGAGGCTGCCGTCTGAGTCCATTGTTCTCTCGGAATTTCCGTCCCCCGCCTCGAGGCTGAGGCTTTGCTCCGCGCCGGTGGTTCCGGTTCCAGTGGACCGCACGTCGTTGTTTTCAGTGGCAAGCTTAACGTTTTGTTGCACTTGTTGCTCACTGTACACTGTTTCGGTGGCCGTATCCATATCCGATGTTGCACCCACTGAAGACGTTGATCCGCCACTCCTGTCATCCGCTTCTTCCTCCTCCTCTGGCATTTCTTCATCATAACTTCCAGAGGACATTTCAACATCGGTAACCTCCGTTAATTCCGCTGGCTGTGGGTCTTGTGGCTGCAAGTCTGAACCCCGTTGCACCGATTTATTCTCTTTACTCAGCGTGGCTTGCTGGGCCGTTTTGCCCTGGTGAAACTGGGCATTGTCATCTGGACGATCATTCCCTGCGCTCTCCGCTGCGATGGCGGGTTCGGAAACAGATGATCCCGCGAAATCCGTGGAAGAGGACGCTGCAGGCACCAAAATATGGACGCTTTCTTCCTCTCGTTTATCAGTATCATCCTCAGTCAATTCCTCATGGCTGGTGGTGCTTCCTTCAATTGTTGACTCGGGAACAACCGAAACGTCTGTTTTGGTCACCTGTCCTGTGGGTTGTTTCTCAACACCCAGTGATGGAATAGTGACTTCGCTGGTTTTGAGTTCATCCAGGTTATCTCCAAACAGTTTCTCATTGTACAGCATGACGTTGGTCACCGTCACGTGACCGCCCGTTGCACTTTGGTGCTTACTGTCCCCACCGATGTAGAAGTGTGAGATCCTGTGCGAGTTAAACAGACTCTTATCATAGCTCTTTTGGTGGATTTGCTTTTTATCCACAATGACAGTCCATTCATCATCATCATCCATTCGCAGTCCCACCTGATACGTCTTGTTTAGCTCCCACTCATCAACATCCTCCATATTACCGGAATTCTCAGGTATGGCCAACCACTTCTTTTCATGGGTGTACGACAGACCAAAGAGAACCGTGCTTTTGGTGTCATTCATCCTCACACCCATCAAAGGAATGGGGCTGCTGTCTTCCTTCGGCACCTCGTGGATGGACACCGTCGCCACAAGAGTGAACTTGTTGTTCGCAAAGTAGTACGGCACAGTCTGCCCCATGTCGCCAACAGGCCACTCCGCCCCTGCTCCGGGTCCTTTGAACGTCAATCCATTGGGAACCCTTCTCTCCCCATTCGTCACCGTTGCATTCACGCCAAGGTACTCGTCCCTCCACTCGGTCCCAGTTGAGTTACCAGACAAAAAGCCAACAAGCTCGTCAGTGGGAACACGACCATTGCACATACCCTTCTTTGGCGAGTCAACAGTGGCGCTGGAACCGGAACTGCATGATTGCAAGGCGCTGTCCAAAGCCGCCCATGTCTTCACCACTTTCTTTATCCGCTCCAGCTGCTTCCCCAGGCTCACGGCGACAAGACTGTATAATCCGTCATTCTTCTTTTTCTCGTACAGTGAAATCAACTCATTATTATTATCTTTTATCAACAGGGAGCTGGCGGCAGCGTCATCACCTTCACGAGATACCGGCCCAACATCATACACACGTGCCTTGTCCGTCACCCAAAGATGAAGCCGACCTTTTCCACCTTCATTGCCCTTCGCATACACCGGCGCGGTGATGAGCATCACCTCCTTTTCCTCAATGATTGCGGTGGTGGATCCACTCTGGACGCCGTCCCCTGTTCGATTGTGTGAGTTGCCCCACACGCGGTTAATTGGCTCACCCAACGTATTCCAATTGACTCCATCCAAAGTAGAACTGTAAACGTCATAGTAGCCTCCAGCACAATGAGCCATCATGAAGAGCCTTTCGCCATATTCGGATTTTTCCCACTTCACCAGGGTTGGATCCCTGCAGCCATTACCAGGCGTATCGTATGAAAGCTCCCATTTGTTCTCCGAATTGGGGAGACGCATAGACAGTAAAAAGCTCGTTCCATCCTTTTTTTCGGCCTGCATGGGAAACACAAGCGAGCCATCACCCATCACAGCGCCCGATCCTCCACCGCCAATTAACTCGGTCAAGGAATGAGAATATCCTTTTTCTTGAGGGTTCACCACATGGGTCTCATTCCATCTGATTTTCTTCTTTCCATTTTCTTCAGCGACAGTTCCCTTCACGAGCAAAAGGCCCCGCTCATTCTTACCTTCAACCTGCGGCTTTGTACGACTGTAGTTTCCCAGGAGCATATAGACACTGTCCCCAATTACAAGTGTCGTTGGCCGCAACAATTCCGTTGTCCCAAAATTATTCGCGGCGGTGTCCCCAAGTTGCATGCGAAACAAACTTATATCCGACGTCAAAATATCCATTGAGTCACCACTTATATCCAGGTGCTTTGAGACAATCCCAGCAGAGCTGTCGGCTCCATTCTTTTCCCTGCACTGCGCTTCAGCCACGGCAAATACATCATCACCCACTTTAACGAGGCCAGGAACACGGAGCGAGGTGATTTCCCTGCCGTCCTCCTTAAACTCCTTCCAATTAGCAAATGATATCGACGTCGTCCCCTTAAACGGATCAATGGCATTCCTTGGATTACCGCCAGCGGCTGCAGCTCCACCACTGCCGAAGCACATCACGACAAAGAGGAGCAGCACCGCAGAACAGAAGTGATGCCGGAACATGTTGGGCCTCTGCGGCTCACCTTCTCTTCCTTCCCTCCTCCTTCCGCTGGATCCGGTCACGCGGCAACGGTTGTGTGTGTTGGGTGCCTTCACTGCAGCAACAATTGAGAGCATATAAATATGTGTGTGTGGGCGGTTTGTGTGCTGTTGTTCCTTTCAGTGCTTTCAAATTTCACAGTAGCGATTCGCGTTTGGTTGCTTTCTTTCCTAGCGTGTCTGTGTCCAAGAAGTGGAGAAGGCAGTAACGGCGGCAATACATCAGACACGTCACTGGGGTGCAGAGGAGAGCACCCACGCGGAGAGCGGAACTCGAGAGAACACAGAAGGGACAGCACGGAGGACCATCGCACACAGAAAACAAAAACAACAACACGGTAAGTCACAGAAGAAGACAACACACACACACACACACATGCAAGCGGGGTTTTATTATTCGGCGACGCCATTCAAAGTCCTGCCGAAAAAGTCCGCAAGTGATACAGTGATCAGTCACACGCTCCCGGTGCACTGCCGCAGCAAGAACGCGGACACAAAAGGAATTATGTGCACAAACGTGGGCAGCATCAATTCACAGCACCGCCACACGACACTCGCTCTCTCGGTCCATCCCACGCCCCGCCTCAAAAGGTCGCGGCAAGCACCAAACCATAAAATAATGAGGCGGCGAAAAAACAACTTCCCTGCAGGCCATTCAGGGCTCCACAGCAACGCCACCAACAGGAGCGTGCATCCCTCTGCTTGCAGCAGTGCAGGCCTCTTTGCTCCTGGCCTCTCGGGGCGTTGAACACCTCCCCGACCATCTCGCGCTCACAAAACAAGCATCACGCAGATGCCACTCTTTTTCTCCGCGAATGGTGTTGCCGCTCTGAATTATGTGCAAATAATCCATAGCACACGACCCAAAGTTTCTTTCCATTGCCTCAAAAGAAAAAGACAAAAATGCTTTGAAAAGTCAACATGAATATCACTTCGCCCTAGTCACTGCGCATTTCCCCGCACAGAATCGTTGTTACTCGCCCTCCGCTCCCCTCTCATCTCATTCCAGCCTGCCAGGACGTACATCACAGTCACAATCCCTCCCAAAAAAGACTTTGTCACATGCTGGCACGGGCCACATTTTTCCCTTTGCATCCCGGTCTCACGCCCACAGGAGGGCAAACAGGGAGATTGCGTGCATGTGCGTGTGGATGGCCATGTGCAAAACCCATCAAGATTCAAAGAAATAAGGCACGCAGGGCGACCCCGCCCACGGATTGGAGGTTCACTCGTGAACCGCAGCAGGAACAGCAAACGCCCTCTTGTTACCATTCTGAGAGGCCGATTCATTATCATCACGCCGCCTCAACAGCGTGTACCGGCGAGCGGAGGAGATGACTGCTCAATCGCACCTCGTGTCGGAGGCGCCCACAACGTCTCACTGCGGCAACTTGCCGTCAGCAACAAGGCGCATGGCAGAACGCAACACAATTCACCCACTCGCCAATAAAATAAATAAAAATGCATCTCACCGCCACAAAACGGCCATCAACATGTTTCACGGCAGACACCAAATGCCAAGGGATTAGTTAAGAAAAACAAACACGCGGATGGTCTCCCACAATACATTTCAACAAAGGATAGTCTCTCAAGCCTAAAAATAAAACACCGTAAAGTCACAGAAGCCGCCTCGTCAAGCCAAAAATCGTGTGATGCCCCTCCTCGCAATGTTCTGCTGTCCGCAGAGACCGCCCTCTGTGGTGTTCAAGCAAAAGCAAAAAAAAAAAATATTCACAAACCAACAGCAAGAGAAGCCTCCACCCGCAGCGTGCGCATCACCGTGGAGCATCGACTCTCCCCGCAAGTAAAAGAGGCGCCGTCACATCATCTGCAAGGATCGCCACAAACACGCCAAATTGCGAAGTACGCAAAACGCTCCGCCGTGACCATCGCCTTCCCGATAAGGCAGCCCACTCCCGTCCACCGTGTCTGCCAAGCAGGACGCACCAGGCCTGCCGCTGCAACGCAAGAGAGATTCGGAAATACGCAACGGATCCCGTCGCAGTCGTTGGCTCAGACGCCGTGTTGAGGTTTGGGATGGGCGGATGGAAGAACAAAAACAAAACGGCCAAATATCCCCGCGGAATCCCGCATTTCACGCAGTCCCAATGGCCAGAGGGTCCTCTAGGGACGCCTGGGAGACGCATCCGCCACACTCACACGCACTATCATTCACGGCACCCCAATCGAGTTCAGCGGGCCTCGCGAAGCACACGGCGCGCCTCAGTGGCGTGGCGAGCAGCCTTCTCGGAGAAAAGGACGCGTGACGATGGTTCCCCTCCCCACTTCACTTTTCTTTTTTTTCTCCTTCTGTTTTTGGTGGCATGTCACAGAAGGGGAGCGTACTTCATGTCCCCAAGCCCTTCTCTCGGTGCACGCACAAAAACAAAAAGGGGAATAATAAACGAATGAGTCAGGCGGCACGAAAAAATAAATTTGCGGGAGACAAACAAACCAAAAGAATAAACAAAGAGCCCGACAGATATGCACGCAGCATATTCAGCGGAAACAGGTGTCACCCTCAGTGGTTAACTTAGTAGCCAATGGCGCCGTCGATCGCCCACGATAAGAAACAGCGTTGTGCTCACAATATTTTTGACTTGTTTTCTGCTTCCCTCCCCTTTTATTTCTCCCTCATCCATCATCTTTATTTTTCTTACTTTCTGCCGCCCTCTCCCACCTTCAGCAACACGGCCACTTTTGGACGCTGCACCCTCCCCCTGTCATGTCAAATATATGCTTGCGCTCTTGAAAACCCATGGCGTACTCGCTCAAATATTATTCGTGTAACTAACCAAACAGAGGTGTAAATTTTTTAAAATTAAAGCAAAACAAAATAAGAAAGCAAAACTTGTGTTTGTCGCCGAATCATCTTCCCTTCGTCGTGAAAGGGTACAAAAGGCTCCTGTCGTAGTCAATACTTGGAACTCTTCGGATCTCATCATGCCCGTAGGCCCGAATGCGTTGTATGCGTGCCTCATCCTTCACCCAAACGTCTAGGGGGACCATGCCGTTATATGGCTCCTTGTATCCATTGCAGCATGCTTTTAGACCTTTCCACTTCATCATGACATATGGTTGGTTCGTCATCAAAGACTTGACACGACGGTACCAGAGAGCGTCCGGTAGCTCCAGTTGCTCAGAGAGACGAATATTATAGTTGCTGCGATGCACAAATTTGCCGTATAAGACATTTCGCTCCTGAAATCCAAGCAAACGGAGGCGTAAGCTGTAGTCGACATCCTCCACGTAAGCTGGGTAAAAGTTCTCGTCAAAATATCCCACCGTACTGATCGCCAGGCGTGTCAACATAACAGACGCAAAACAAGTGCCTTTGTAATACGCGCAGAAGTGCCCGTAATGCTTCGAAAACATCTTTGCACGCTCCTTTGCAGAGGCATAACGAATGCGGTCAGGCAGCAGCGCAGACGTCGACAATCGGTTATCCTTCACCGTGGAGCGCAGCACCCTCAAGCCCCGTCGCAAAACAGGACTGTACTCGCTCGGCTCATTCGCCACTTCCGCCGCCAACTCATCCATGCGAGCGGCATCATGCCTCGTCATTTCATGCACATCGCGTAGAAGGTTGGGAAGAAGATCGGGTGAAAACATTACGTCGCTGTTTGTTACAAAAACAAAAGGCACTTCCTCGCGCGGGAGCGAGAGTGCAAGTCGTAACCCAATGTTCACGGCAGCGCTGTACCCGATGTTTTCCGGATGACGACTCACGACCAGGCGTCCGGACCACCCATAGACCCTCTCGAGTTCCTGCAGGTACAACGACAGCATCGCCTCCCGCCCGTTCTGCACCAAAACCAACAGCCGGATTGGCACACTGATGTTGCACATCATCCTCCGAAAGTCCATCAGATCGAGCATCAGCGGGACCACCATCATCGGGATAACGTCCGTCCCGTTATTTCCCCCCAGCTGCCGTGTCGTTGGGTCCACCAGAAGCCTTTCCCCGACGCAGTGGATATATTCCGCCATGGTCGGGCCAACACCAAAACCATGCGCGGGATCGTCACCAAACAGAGGTTCCACCTCCAAACAAGTATATATATATATCAGCACGAACAAAAAAAAAGATATCAGAAGAAAGATAAAGCATCCTTTCCAAAAAAAACTCGTGGCTTCGGTTTTTAAACCACGAGTAACTCTGTGCATATCCCGTTGGAGGCAAAGCCAAGGGAGCATCTCCTGAAAGAAAGCAAAAAAAGTAAAATAAAAATAAAAATAAAAATGTGCTCAATGATGGTTCTGTGTGGATTTGAACAAAAAAAAAGACTCCTTCCCAAGCAATGGTCATGCACCTCCGTTTGGTGAGTGAAGTGGAGGCACGGAGCACGCAGGAGTCTCAACATGACCAGAAATAAAATAAGCAACAAAAGTAAAAAATAGCTAAGAATGAAAACACACAAAAAAAAAAAAAAAGAGAGACCAATGGCACAGTAACAAATGCAGTTCTCGCCGCAGTATGCAAAGCCCTCATACATCCCGTAAAAAAAAAAAAAGGATGGCGAAACACAACAGTCCAGGGTGTCATTTGTAATAGCACATGATTCCACAAAGAATAAAAGTGTTCGTTGAGAAGCCCAAAATGTCATGAATTTTGGAGGGCACCCAAATCGCGGACCAACAAGCCTGCGGCACTCACCACATATCCCACAATGCTCAATCCCCATTCCTCTCATGTAAACTCCCCCAAAAAAAGCACAGTCACCAGACATCCTACATGCCCAAAAACAACAAACATATTTTAAACTGTCCTATCGACACCCGCAAATAAGAAAAGAAACTTCAGTTCAGCATAAAGACGTCGCAGGCACAAAAATAAAAAATAACTATTCTTCAATATAGGAAACTGTTATAGCTCAGGGAGACGACCATCCAGACATTCTGAAAACGCAATTCAGGATTTCAAGTCACATTTTTTGCCCAGTATTTCCCCAATCACCTCCCCCATCACCACCGCAAGAAACAGTACCTCAATCAGCACCTTGCCGTAATAGCCAAATTTTCTTTCTTTATTTGCCTATTGGGCGCAAACAACAAAAAGCAACACCACCATAGGGATCTCCATCCGTTTGAACCTTTTTCTTTTCCTGTAATAAAACCCAGCCGCAGAGTTAGACATGAAAAACAATAATAAAAAAAAATGTAAAGAAGTAATCAATGCAAAAAAATTTGGCAGGCGCTGAGGAAGGCATTTCTATAGAAAAGAATCCATTCACAGAAAACATATAAGTACATACAGAGAGGTAGATAGATAAATATTCTTTTTTTTTTAGGCTTCAGGTGCGTCGCTGAATGCCAAAACGTCCGGCAAAAGAATAAATCAGCGAGCGCACACACAAACACACGATGCAAGAAAAAAACAAGCCCAATCCCCACAGTCGGATTTCTCCTGCTTCAACACCGCGTAAAAAAAAAAAAAAACAGACGGGTTGATTGGTCATAAATACCAGGGAAATAACATTCAAAAGGCTTTCATGATGTTTTTGCTGTACTGTGATAGTGCACTTTCACCTCCCACATTGCCTCCTTCGATCTTCCAGTGCTACTGCTGGCGTCGACGCTGGCGGTGGCTTTCAGAAAGCCTTGGTTTTCCAACCCAACAACAGTATAGTCAAAATTGCCGCCCCATTCACGCAGTGTGAGGTCGTTTTTTACGTACAACAAAAAAAGTTTTCCGACCTTATCCACTGTGCGGTGTGTTAAAGGATTATCCACCGTATTTGCCCAGACCTCTCGTGGTGCCTCCAAAGGCGTAGGAAGAGACAAGGAACACACAAACGCGGACCACTCTTCCTTCAACTTTGCGGCAACAGGATTCTCCTTGGCCAGTTTGCCAAACTCCTCAACGCCCGCTGCAACTTGTTCTTTCCCACCGCAAGAATTAGCATCTTTTTTTTCCTTTGTGTTCGTACAGCCCATATTGTTATTTTTTTTTTTTTTCTTTTTTTTTATGTGCCTTATTTTTTATTTTTGCCGTATCTATTGGTTATTGAAGGTTCCCTTCCCATACAAACGGAATAAACGTGGTATCACAAGAAAATATGAAATGCATTTAGTTTGGCAAAGGACACCACAAGCATTCTATCCCGAACAGTCTTCCCTTTCACCCGGTCAATAACAATATTCAATCATCTTCGGCCTTAAATTCTCTGCGTCCCCCTCCCCTCATACGCAACGCACCATTCCCCTGGATTCTTTTGAGTTCACTCTTCTTTTGTACTCTCTTCGTGTTTCGTAAGGAATTCACACGTGAGTCTCTCCTAATAAACACAATTTTATGTGGCTGAATGTCTTCTTCATACACATACAAGAACACATACACACACAAGGAAAAATAAAAATTTATGATAATTTAAAATGTGTCTGCTAATCTCTCCACACCTTCTTCATCCTTCCCCCTCCCCCTTACTCCCAAAAATATTGATTATCAACACTGCTCCCAATACACAGTCTGCTGGACTCACATGTGAGACACGGATGGCCTTAATAGACGATACTCAGCATGTGCAGTCCACTTCCCGTAAATCATGCGCTTTGTTATTGTGTTTAGTTCTGAATTAAGAATCAAAATATTTGCCTTCTTTCCCCTCTCAATCGAGCCTACCCCATCCAGTCGGGCAATTTTGGCGGGGGTCGTGGCAACCATCTTGCAGGCAGAAATAAGGTCCACCCGGAAGAGAGTCACCAGGTTCATAAACTGATCAGCCAAAGAACTGGTGCCCCCCGCAAGCGTTTTCGTCGGCCTGCCGGATGCATCGCACAGAGAGCAACCTCCTTCAGCGCGGACGCAACTTAAACGTCCATTGTAGGAAAAACGCTTCCCAGGAAGGTTTTCCGATATACAATCCGTGATCAAAGCAACATCATCACACCCTCTGGAAGAAATTGTCACATGCAAAGGAATGGCATCGGTATGGACAAGGTCTCCGATGATCTCCACATATGGGGGAATGGCACCTCTGTAGATTTCTGCATTGGGAAACGAAGAGCAAAGCGCCACATTGACGAGAGATGGATTTCGATGAGCAAAGGACATCACATTATGCATATGTGTGACATGAAGCTTGTCCCTCTCCGAGGGTGCAAGTTTCAAGGCACCCAAAATCTCTTTCTTCGTTGCCACTCGGTCGTGTCCAAGTGACGGACGAACTCCAAGGCGGAGTAAGTAACCAATGAGCTCATAGTTGCTGCGCGCGTCAATATGTGGTGATATCGTCATTATACGCATGGACGGCATGGTGGCACACAGTTTCTTAAAACTCTCAAGATTCCACCTGTTTTCACATGCAGGC